CCCCCCCCCCCACATCCTAAAGCCCTGTATAAGCACAAGGACTTCTGTAAACTCACCGAGGCACCTCCATGACGCTCAAATACTAAAAGCTATCTAAATCTGAACCCAAACCCTGAATTCCGAACCCCTCTTTTGCGGGTCACCACCTACGAGGGCTCGTCCTCAGGGCGTTACAGTAGGACTTAGGCCCAGCCGGGGCCCGACATTCGGGTTTGAGCTCCTGACCCCTCTAGCCTACAAAGGCCTCGTCAAGCCCATACGATAAGCCCGACAGTGCTATATCCCGTATGCTGGAGCACCCTCCAGCCAATTACTCGATACCAATCGTTACGCCTCTGACTCCAACCATCGATGGGCATCAGTGCCCCGAGCCCTACAGCCATCTACCATCAATCATCACCCTAAACCCCGTGACCGTATAACCATCTACAACCCTGTTGCATCCAGGCCTATTGCAACCATCTACAACCCTAAAACGTAAAACCTGAACTGCCCTGAACCCTTTTTTGCTGCTGGCCAGACTACGACCCCTAAGCCCGCAACCCAAGCCGTCAGGGAGCGGATGTATGGCCACAGCGGTCGGAGGATCCCCGCCAAACTTGGAGCGGATCTCGCAGGTCCTTTTGGGTTGCTCTTGTGGGAGTAGGGCTACCTTGGATATCTTCTTTATTATTTTGGGGGGAGGGGCGGGAGTGGGACGTTTTAAGGCTTGCGGCTTGAGGAAAAATACGGACTATACGGTGTAGGGCTTCTAAACCCTGTTTTATGCACGCAGGCTTGATTGGAGCTCGCCCGGCCAAGTTCTTTAGCATCTAAACCCTAAACCAAAAAATCTAGGACCGAAACGTCTGAAGGGTTTGGGGCTTCAGGTCACCAAGGACCAATTACAATATAAATCCCAATATTAATATAGTATAGTTGGTCCTTCTTACTGTAATATTACTATTATAGTATATCCCCCACGGAAGTCGCCCAGGCGCCGCGTGGCCCAATTCCACACGCGCATGCTGCTGTCACGATGGCAGATGGTAACCTCGGACGGCCAATGAACCCCGTAGGGCCAAAGCTGTATCGGAAAGCAAAGGTTTAAATGCAGGACTCCGGAAACTCGGACAATGCAGACGAGAAGTCTGCGCATGGGTTTAGATTTCAGCCCAAACCTGAACCAGCTGCAGGAACCGCTACTATCGGGGATCGGGAGGGATGCTTGAAGACCATGGTGCAAAAGACCGCATGTTCTCAAAGGGCTTTTCACCCCGACAGCAAAACATCTAGCAGCGGCAACCCAACGGGTGCTGATATGTCGAAAGACCACCAGTGATCGATGTACCGCCATGTCCTTGGTCGCTCTTGGGCACCCTGGTGATCGCATAAAAGAACCTCCCCTCCTACTACATTATGCCACAGCCTTGGGTTGTTGCTTTTACAACGGCGGCCGTCTCCCAAAGCTTCGAGTTGAGCCTATGATCACGTTTTCCCTGTATCCAGCCTTGCCTGCGTTTAAGTCCGGAAACTCCGAAATCACAATCCTAAGTCCCCACACGAGGCTCCATGCCAGTAATGGCCGCTGAGTGATTCCCGCTGATGTTGATGGGGACCTGCAACGTCATCGTGTGCTTGACGGCGCCACCTATGTAGATACCAGTACCGAGATGTGGAGGCGTACGCAAGCAAGTATGCTAGCTCAATGATTGCGGTTCTCAGAATACAGAAGCAGATCACCTGCGACCTGTGTTATATTCAGCTAAATGTGAAATCCCTTCCAGATCCTGAGATTTCCTTCCATCCTAATGTCCCGCCAACCCTATGCTCCCCAGAGACTTTTTGCATCCAGGACGGGGAGACTGAACCCTAAAACCTACAATGCAGGATATGCAGATGTTCTGGTTGCGAGCTTCAGCTCATTGGCTTTTCAGCTCAGAAAACACCGCGAACCACTACATTGTGAGTCCTGCGGTTGGTGCCACGAGGTCACATACATAGTTCAAACTGCTCTGAATGCATTGCAGATTCCTGTGCTTTCCAGGCGCCTGCTCTTCTTCGTTGCCGTATATCGAAGCCATCGGCACAACACCCATTGCCTGTACAGCAACACGCAAGCCATGTTGTCTTTTCCTATGCTACCAAAAGACGGCTTGTAACAACCAGACATTCCCCCAATTGCGCAGTTCTGCAGAGGAAAATCGAATTTCTAGCGCGCGTCGCTAAGGGTAACAACCTCTCCAGGAACTGTGTCAGAGGAACAGTCCTTTAGAGGAGCACTTCGCTGGGAGTGTAATTAGGACCGAACATGTTCCAAATTAAAGCTCTGCCCACTCTCCTGCGAATTCTACAAGAGTCTATCCTGGACTGAAGGAATTGGTTCATCATTTTCACTCACAATCAACGTGCCCTCTCAACAATCCGGACTCTTAAGACAACCTGGCCGATGCAGACGGACTAGCAAAGTCTAGTAGAGCAGAGTAGAGCAGGGCATATCACGGCGCAGCACGCAAGTACAGCAAAGCAGATATGCCTCCGCAGGACTCCCTAACGCCGAGTGACGGAATCGCCGAAACCCAGCAGCAGGTGCTCCTCGCTGGGGGTAATGTCCTGAGAGACTCCACGACCCAGCTTTCAGGAATATGGCGACGGCTTTCGGTTTTGAAGACGTGTTGATGGTGTTCAGCATCAGCGTAGTCATAGTCACGGCCGCACCGGAAGCAAGGGCTGGATGAGAGATAGCAAAGCACACAAAAGAGCGGTGGGGCCTCAAAGCCAAATTGTCTACTTCACATCAATGAAGTTCATGCCCAAGTCAATGCCGATTCCCGCAATTCGCGGAAGTCTGCAACGCTAAGCTGCGTGCATTGACGTTTATGCTGCGTCTCACAGAAACGCAGCATGGAATCTCCACAAGTTTCCCCGCACTGGCCCGAAGGAACTGATGATTTGGACTGTTAGATGTTAGATCCCAGTGCAGAAATGTCACTAACAAGCAAGAGCATCAAGATGCGCCCCCCCTCATCTTTACAATTGTGGAAGCCTTCAAGGTCACATGTCAAATCACACCCACATAGATACCTTTCCTTTTGATGCGAGATAGCCTAGTTCCCCATGCCCTCCCCCAAAAACATGATTCTTCGGGAACAAAGTATCGAGGGAGCACACAGCGTCCGGGTCTTCTCTGATCTTCACAGCCACAGCAAGCCTGCAAGACTTCCGAATTATGGGAGCCCTATAATGAAGACATTAATTAGAATATGCTTTAGGACTAGGGTTTCAGCCCTCACAACTGCTGAGGGTTTGGATTTGGGGTTTCTAGTACCTCTGGGCCTTATGCCGGCCCTACCATGTTTGATGGCGCTACTTGGCGAGTCCACATCTTGGACCAGTTGCCTTGCATAGTTCTGCAAGCTTGGGCCCGTTCTCGACTCAGACACTCGCGCAAGGCAGCCATGGCTTCAATCCGTCCGGGCTTGTTTAGCATACAGGTTTGAAGGGTCAGGGGATTGAGCAAACAGGATTGAATTAAGGAGCATTGGGGGACATAGGCTAGGCCCTTAGCCAGATAGCCTAAGCTGCTCTGAACTGTAGTAGTCTACCCCAAACCCAAAACCCTATCAATAGACCCTTTTAGGAAGCTCACCTTGGCCAACGTGCGGCCAAGAACATTCTTTCCTGAATCTGCCTCAACGAACCGAACCATCTCACTGGAAAGCAAAAGCTTCCTTAAAGTAAGACCAAGCCCAGCGTAGGATCCTCGAAAGCCACGGGCCGAAAGCTCATAGCCTGACCCCCGCCATCTCCCCACAAAGCCCGAATCTCCCCAAGCCCAAGACTACATCAAACGACCCTAAACCCTAAACCTATAGACCCTAAACCCTAGGTGCCAAGAGAGAAAAGGAGCTTGTATTCATTCTCCGGTGCCCTTCGCGAACCCTCCGAGCCATCGTCAACCTGGGTCGGGAATCCTTGCAACTTTCCGTTTACTTATTTGGTTGGGGGGGTGGGGGCGGGGGGGTAAGGTTTTATGGGGCATTTTCGGTTTCAGGGTTTAGGATTTGGACTTGAGATTTGGGTAGCATGCTTGTGTTTGAATCATCTCGGGCCTCTTTGGGCTGAGGATTTAGCCTTTTGAGTCTTATCCACAAGCAGGGTGACCGTGTAGCTTAACCGCTGATTTCTCAACTCCAAAGAAGTATAAACTTTCAGTTGACAGGCGATAATATGATCCCCACGAAGTGTGGGGTGCACTCATTCAGCTACTAAGGCTACTAAGTCGCATATAGGCGTTTGGCTTATGCGGCTCGCGCATGACCCTGTCTGAAGTTCAGGCATTGGGTTAAAAGTTCCGGAGCTTTGGCTCTCGAGTTTAGGGTGTGAATTTACAGCGAGAAATTCACGACGCGAAGCTCATGGGTTTACATGCTGAGTGTCGCTCTGCTGATGCAGAAACAACATACTTATTGCTTCAATTGCGCTATATAACTAAACAGGCCGCGCTGGAGCTATTGTGTTTCAGATTGATCGAAACGATGGCAGCAATCCTCAACTGTCATCCAAGCACCAAGCCACGGACGAACTCGGTTTCAGAGAGCCACCCAACGGTGAAAGAACTCTCTCACCACAGACAAGGGAGGTGAAGGGCTATGCAGTCATGCAGCGATGACCTTAAACTCTTAACCTGACAGCTGTTCACTGCTGAAGGGCGCTGGCGAAAGCTTCATCGTCCGCCTCTTCCCAGACGGCGAGGTAGCCGTGGGAGCCCCCAAGGAGGAAGCCGTGGGTGAAGGAGCGGATACCTCAGAGGAACACATGCATATTGGCAGACAGACAAGCCGACAAGTCGATGACATGGGCGCAGACACACGCGCACACACACACACAGACACACACACACACACAGAGACACACTCAGACAAACAGACACACACACACAGAGACACAAACACGCACGCACAGATACAGAGACGCAGACATACACACATACACAGATGCGCGCACATGCAACACTCCCTGGTCAGGCTTGGGGACTTGACTGATTGGTCTACTTCATCCCGGGAGAACAGCTAAGATTCAAACCGGAATCGAACAAGCGGTCTATTCAAGATCAGTGCATGGCCATAGCATCATGGTCGTGTGAGCTCGTGGTCCTCGTATTTGTCATCCTGTGCTCCAAATGCTCCGAAGCTTAGAGGCCGGAGCCCTGAACTAGACTAGACCCTCGAACCCTACACCCTAAGCCCTAAACCCCAAACTCTAAACTCTTTGTGCAACAGGCTTCGTACTTCGCCCCAAAACTCTCTCTAAACCCTAAACCCCAAACCCTAATTCCTCAACCCGAAAGCATCATACCGACCTCTACAGCTTGCAGAAAGGATGCAGAGGGGAAGCACCTCTTCGAGGTCGCCCTCGACCCCAAAAGCGGATTCGATCGTCCGCAGAACAATCCTGGGTTAGGGTTCTGGCTCTTTTTTTTCTGGGTTTAGGGTTAGGGTTTTAGGGTTCTGGCTCTAGGGTTTTAGAGCTCTGGCTCTAGGGTTTTAGGGCTCTGGCTCTAGGGTTTTAGGGTTCTGGCTCTAGGGTTTTAGGGCTCTGGCTCTAGGGTTTTAGGGTCTGGCTCTAGGGTTTTAGGATTCTGGCTCTAGGGTTTTAGGGCTCTGGCACTAGGGTTTTAGGGCTCTGGCTCTAGGGTTTTAGGGTTCTGGCTCTAGGGTTTTAGAGCTCTGGCTCTAGGGTTTTAGGGCTCTG